GAGAAGCACGAGACGGCTGTGCTGCGGAAAAAAGGATTTGAGGAGGAGAAGAAAGACAGTGACGACAGTGATGAGGTTTGAACACCTCCATTTTTTTACGAGAGCGGAGCAAAAAGTACGAGTACTTGTCTGCTCATGTGCTGAACATCTGAAATGTTTCTCATGTGCAGGAAATCAGGCCGGATGCCCCAAAACTATCCAAGAAGAAGCTGAGGAGGATGAACCGGCTGACAGTGGCTGAACTTAAACAGGTAAAAATATATGGTTTGTGTTTTCAGTCTAAAAGTCCGTGCCTGATTCTGAATAGATGATAACTTTTTATTTCTCCTGCTGCCACTTCGCTTCAGTTGGTGGCTCGTCCAGATGTGGTGGAAATGCACGATGTGACGGCTCAGGAGCCCAAGCTGCTCGTGCACTTAAAAGCCACCAGGAACACGGTGCCGGTGCCAAGACACTGGTGCTTCAAACGAAAGTATCTGCAGGGAAAGAGAGGTATCGAGAAGCCGCCGTTCGAGCTGCCCGAGTTCATCAGGAGGACGGGAATCCAGGAGATGAGGGAGGCTCTGCAGGAGAAGGTGAGTGTTCTTCTGATGGTCTGAGTCAACATTAGCAGAAATAATACTGCATGATTACTAATTCTGTTTTTCTGTCCACTCGCAGGAGGATGCCAAAACTATGAAAACCAAAATGAGAGAGAAGGTTCGTCCCAAGATGGGAAAGATCGACATCGACTACCAGAAACTCCACGATGCTTTCTTCAAATGGCAAATCAAGCCCAAGCTCACCATCCACGGAGACCTTTACTATGAGGTACAAGAATTCTCGCTTTTCTCACATGTAATCAGGACCACGTAGGTACATTTATCAAAGGGACGTTATGAGCGCTAAAGCTCCATGACATGACCTGCTTTGTGTTTTTGTGGCTCTGCAGGGTAAAGAGTTTGAAACTCGTCTGAAAGAGAAGAAACCCGGAGATCTGTCTGATGAGCTGCGTATCGCTCTGGGCATGCCAGTTGGACCTGTGAGTTTCACTATTGTTCAAACGTTGTGCAAATTTAATGAACTAAATCACAAAAAAACAGCCAACATGTTTTAAATTGACTGCAGTTTCTCTTAAACACACAAATCTGAGCGCATATAAACAGAAACCGAGCCTTGGTGATCTTAGAGCTTCATACTGTCTTTGTTTATCGTGTTCTTGGGCTCATCTTGATCTCAGTGATGAGACTGTGTAATTATATAAGAGTGTGATATAAAGCTACTGTATGAAGCTCCAGTTGCGACAGAAATAAGTCAGCTGCTCTTGTTTTGCTGTTACTGTCCTGCTCTGTAGTATCACTCTCCCTGCTATCTCATTATGTCACTCTGTCTGTTACTGTTGTTAAGTGGTTGAATGTACAAGCTGTGAGAATAAATGTGTCAGATAAGACGTGACAGGACTTGTTTACACCGACACAGTAACGAGGACAATGCTGCTGTAACGACAATTATATAAATATATCCAGGCGGTGTTTTTGTCGCAGGCAACACCAACAGGCACACAAATAAATGCTGAGCATATTTTAAGCTTGGAAAATGCGATCAGCACAGGGGGAGCAAAATGAGGAAGCAGAGCGAGCATTTCATTTGGATTTTTGCTTTGTCTTCATCGCTAGAACGCCCACAAGGTGCCGCCTCCCTGGTTGATAGCCATGCAGAGGTACGGACCTCCTCCCTCCTATCCCAACCTGAAGATCCCTGGATTGAACTCTCCCATCCCAGAGGTAACAAAATATCCAAAAAGCAGTTTAACAAATATGTCAGTGAATCAGTTATTGCTCATT